CAACCTTTCCTGAACTTAGAGGTACTTAAAATTAAAAACTATTTAATAAAAGTAACAGATGCACATGGGTATCAAATAAGGAAACCTTCTTTGATTTTTCCCAAGGAGATTTATGATGACTTCATCACAGGCTGGAAGGGACATCTAGAACTAATTTGGCCTAAGCCTCCTACCAAAGCAGTGTCAGCTACAGAGGGTTATGGAGGGCCATGACCACTTGAATTCTCAGTATTTCAAAGGACAGAGCCTCCAGAACCTCTCACTGCACCTGTTCCAATATTCTACCTGCCTCACAGGAAAAAAAGGAATTTAAAATTTTAAATCAATTTTTCTTTGTATTTCAATTTTTACCTGATGTCCTATCACTGTGTATCACTGAGAATAGTCTGACTGAGTCTTCTTTACACTATTCCATGAGGTAGTTTTTATGCATATGGATAACATCCCCCTCCCAGCCCTCTCTTCTCCAACCTAAACAATCCCAGGTCTAGCATGTAGGTCTAGCATACATTGCCTTGTATGTGGGATGCTGCCTAACCATCTTTAAGGTAGTTGATTACACCCTGATTTGGATGTCCTTTCCTCCTTTCTTCTAGGGAGCCCATTGCTGGACCCAGTATTCCAGTCATGGCCTCAACAGCCCTGAGCAGAAAGGAATGATGAACTCCATCAACCTTCTGGCAACATTTCCTAAAGCACCATAGGAGGCTGCTGGCCCTCTTTGCACAAGGGCACAGCACTGGCTCATGTTCAACCTGATGTTCACCAGAACGCCCCAAGATGCTCTTCTGCAGAGCTGATGCCCCAGCAGATACTAGTATAGAGAGAGGTTTATTCCTCCTTATATTTTGGACTTTGCAACACCAGTCAGAAAAACAGAGAAAAATTACTTCTGGAGCTATGCTCACACAGATGTACATTGCCATGCACCCCTGAGCTTCTCACACAAGTTTTGTTTCATGCGAAAAAAGCCACTGCCAACATATATATATATATCAGACTGTCACAGAGACACTGCCAGTTCTGGTCTCAGTTTGCCAAGTGCACACATTATGTAAGCATATCAAGTGCCTGAGAATATGTAAGGACATTTACAAAAGTGTGTGCACAGTTGTGCAGACCTGTATCTTAAAATACAGTTCTGAGTTATCTCTCTGTTGACATCCCAGACTCAGTGGACTCCACTTATAAAACCAGCTGATGAAACCCCATTTGATGAACTCTAAAAGATCACCACTCTATCATTCCATAAAGCAGACTCCCTTCCAAAACAGAGGTTCACATCTTTTTCCTGTCATCTTCTTACTGTTACAAATATTTTTTCCTTTCTTTTTCTCTGGAAAAAATCATGCTGACTCATTTTCTGGTTGCTATACTTTCTCCAGTTTTGACCATGACGACTAATACTATAAGGATGAACAACGTAAATACCTTAATTTCTGCTACATTATATAGAAGAAAATGTGATGAAAGGACTGAACCTTACTCACCTTCTTCAGAAGACAGTTCATTAAAAATCACTAACAACTTTTAGTGTAAGAGCAGGAATCGACCTAAAGTCCTGAGAAAGCCAACAATGAAAAGATGGTTTATTTTGACTTGCATTCCTAAACGACCATTAATTAGAATTGGGATATTTCAATTTAGATTATTTTTATTTCTAATCTTAATTCCCCTCTGCTAACATCTCACTACTTCTATAAGAAAAAGATATCAGAGCAAGTAAAGAAGAGGATGTAATATCTTTGAGGCCCTATGAAGTTGGAGACTTAATTTGAAATTTTGTTTTTCAGTAATATTTTATTAGTAAATAGGTTTTTAAATACATCACACTGTAAAGATGTCCTTATTCAACCTCAGCATTTTTTGAGTAAAAGATCTTAATGTTTAGAGAAATCACATTTTTCAGATACTGATTGTTCACATGCAGCCTTTACTTACTGAGTGCTGGCGAGAGAAGTCATCGTTCCATGCACAACCTGTTTTTTGTATCTTTGCTTATTTTTTAATGAAATCGCTGCTACCAGCAGCTGTCAGGTTTGAGCTAGATGGGGTGATATGGTCTAATCCAGTGTGGACTTCATAACGTTTTATGTTTCCTTGCTACTTCATTTCTTTTTCATCATCTCCTTTGTCTTTCTTCCTCTCAGTTTTTAAAACATAATCATGACTTTCACTTCCTCTGATTCTACAGCTGAATCTGCTTTTGTTGGCATATCAGTGTAGCCGTTTTCTACAGGTACACTTGCAGCCTTCTCTTCTTGTTCACATTACATCACTGTCCTGCTCTGATGTCTGTCTAATATTCCAGAACTGATATGTCCATGACCAATGTATTTTTTGGTCCTCATGACTTCTATCCTGCTCGGTTTCTAACGCATTATCTCCACTTCAGCATTTCCTTCCCTTTCTACAATTTCCAGACTTCTTCCCAGAGCTCCTTTCTCCAGCATAGAGGATTTGCTTTTGTTTTTTTCTTTCCAAGTCTTTGCATCTTTCCCATTTGTTACCTTGCTTAGTCTTGTAGGACAAATGAATTACAAAAGGGAATTCTTCTTATTGTCCAAGTCTTTGCATCTTTCTTTTTTTTCTTTTTTTTCTTTCCAAGTCTTTGCATCTTTCCCATTTGTTACCTTGCTTAGTCTTGTAGGACAAATGAATTACAAAAGGGAATTCTTCTTATTGTCCAAGTCACATGTGTATTTAAGAGTCTCACATGCACTAGTGCCAAGAGGAGCTGGACTAGGTGATTTCCAGATGATCGCCAGAGGTCCTTCTAACCCTAACAATTCCATGATTCTGTGAAATCCTGATATATTCAAAGAGGAACAGCATAACATTAAGGTGTCTGCTAATTTTCCAAAGAAAACAGCACAAACAAGTTTAATGAACTTAGTATTCTCCTAAGACACTAACACTAACTTCTCAAAAGTAAAGAGTGCTCTTAGGTAGATCACTTAGAGACTACCTGAACAGTACTGATGGCCTTAATTAATAGAATGCTGTTCTCTCGTGAAATGTTATAGTCTGGTAACACAAAAAGCTACTTGCTATTATTATTTCTGGGTGGAAAAGCAACACATCTTCTTTAATAAGCCCTGGAAGATATAACTTGTCATGTTACCCAGTGCAGTGTTGTGCATTTTGAACTAAAGCAGTGAACTAAGTAAGCCTTCATCCCATATGCTGAATAACAGTGGTTTCTGAGCAGCACACTACCCTCCTGACTAGTACTAAGGATGATTTAATGCATTCCCGTCCCTAAGCATTTTTCTTCCTGATACTTCTTTCTATCCAATTAGATTCCTATTCCAGATCCTATTTCATACAGACTATATCAGTCTTGTTGTCGAAATGAAAACTAAATCTCTAAGACTATTTATTACTCCTCTCCTTCTATTTCTTTTTTGCTTTCTTTTAATCTTCATTTTCCACCTTTCCTCACAAATACATAAAAAAGTTAATGTCTCATATGGCCTTTCTCAGCTACAGAAGCATGGGGATGCGAAGCATATCCTGTAAATTGTGTGTCAAACCAAACAAGTAATTTCCAGATAGTTTCTAACACCTACCAGTTGTTATGGATATCACAGTATTATCAGAGTTATTTAAAACAGTTTTAGATTAGCCAAATGTCAATCTCGCGGCAACTGCACAACCTTCAGGACATCTTTGTGCATATGACAGACTTCCAGCTGCGAAATGATTGCTTAAGAAACCCACATACTTTCTAAATGAGCATGTACCAGTTGTTTTCTTTACAGGGAAAAAATATTTTAAAGTTACAAAATAGGTTCAGCTATTCAAATGTACTATTTTGGTTCATATTACTTTTTCTTTTGAGTCTGAAAGCAAAAAAGATAAATTTCACTACTGTTTGTTTTCACATTTTCAATGTACTGTCATTGCTGGTTTATTAAAAGTTCCCACTGACTTAAGCATTTTAAAAGCACGTAATTTGTTTGAGGAACAAATCAGAGGTCACAAAATCAACTTAAGTGACTTTGCACAAAGTCTTACTTGAAAAGGGTGACAATTCTACTAAAATATCCAACCAGTATCCTCTTCTGTTTGGTATGTTAGTTCAGGCTCCCATTATATACCAAGCCTATAACAGACTTCTTTATATATTACAGTGACGAAAAGAAATTCAACAGGGATTAGGCAGAGCTACAAAAAAAGAAGGCGTTTTCTTTTTCTAGTGGTGCAAAATACCTTATGGTAGATAGACAGATGCAGAAAGTTCTGAAAAAGTGTAATCAGAAAGACATGACTCAGGGGGTACATGATAAATACAAATGCCCCAGTCACCATACTGTGAAGAACCCACATGGAATTAGCTGCACGAATTCCCATTTTTTAGGAAACAGCAATTTATGCTGGTTGATCTTGCACTGAGGCATAGTCTCAAGTATGTGATAATACATTCTGTCACCATGGAAAGGAATGTACATAATGTAATACCAAAGAATAAATTAAGACATTATATGCTGGCAAAGCTTTCATTCTTATTTCAACACAAACAAGGGTTTAAAAACATGTAGAAGATAAACATAAGTTCTCAGAGTAGTTTTGGCATCCCACTCCTCTGGTTTGCACCTAATTTTGGCTTAATTTTGTTGAGTCTCTAGTTGAACTGAGCTAGTTGTCTCTTACTATTCAATTAGGTATACTCAATGAAAGACTGGACAGAAAGCTATTGCTACTTCACCCTTGAAGGGCATGACTTCCCCCTTGATCTGTAGTGATAAGCAGTAAAATCCTGTTTGTCTCACATAAAAGCATCCAGTGAAATCAGAAGGATATGTTCTTGGTGAGGGGACCAGGATTTGATACAAAATTGCACTATTGTAAGGATTTAGACATTCTGCAAAATTTGTGGTCATACACCCCTACGCCTAAAACAGAAAGATAAGTTAATGCAAACTCTCAGGCAAAGCATTATGTAGTACTTAACAAAGATTAGCACATGAATACGGCTTTAATAAGTTGTCTCCTACCCAGAAATTGCTGCTAGTTTTTGATGAGCCTGATAGGCCATCTCACATCCTCGGGTTCGAGTTTTGTGCAATTCTGCATGCAGAGAAGGACAGGTGACTGAGACATCCCCAATAGAAATGACCAGCTCCCGATAGAGAGCCACCTGGGTATTGAACTCCTGGACAAGCTGAAAAACAAAAACAATTTACATGCATGAGAATTTTTAACTACATTGGTAAAAACAATCCATGTTTTAAAAGCATGCCCAATCTAGGGCTTGTTCTTGCTTCTCAAAATTTCGTAGCACACAGGATCAAGAGCACACGATTCAGTAAACAACTAGAGCCTCCATGGCAGCTGCTTCTTCTGTGAGCTATAAATGTTCATCTGTAGGAAAGTAGTGTTTCTGCTTTTAATATCTGAAAGTGTTTGAGTTATTAGTATTAAATATTAAGCAGACAAAAAAACATCTGCTTTACTAGTAGCATGAGGTTATTTTTTGCTATCATGAAAGGCGAAAATATCTCCAGAAATTACTGCCTTTGCTTCTCCTGCTTCCTGATTAACAGCATGTTCAGGGACTGGAATGTAGCATTTGCTTTTAAATTGGCAATTTTGCTAATTTATTTTGTAATGATTTTTGTTCTGTTACTTCCCTTCAACCCAGATTTCTGACTTAAAACTCATCTGCTGTTACTGACTGAGAAGATGTACCAGATAGGCACTTTCCTGTTAAAATTCCAGAAAGCACCTTTTCTAAAGTGCATGTGGGAAAAAGGAAGAAATCATTAAATAAACACTACAACCTGCATAGAAATCCAATATACAGCAGATACATACAGATCTTATTGGATAAATGGATCATTTTACTGTTATGGAAAGACCATTATTGTTTAGTTCCACCGATCACGCACAGGGAATGATATTTTAAAGAAACGAAACATTTGCTGTCTTCTGAAAGAATGCATATGAGACCATTTGCTCCACATGGTGGCGGGGGTGGAAGGATTAGAGTAATAGAACAGAATATTTATTTATCTGTGTTTTGACCTCAATTCCAAACTATATAAAAACAGACAAGAGTAATTGCTCATAATTCTGCAGTCATCATTACCACCAGGAGTTCAACGTACCCAACATAAAAACATACTGAGAACCTCAAGTCTATCAGAGCTACTAATTTTTAAAGTCAAGTCCTCAAATTCTCATGCTCAGGAAATAAACGAGTCACCTCTGCAGTGTTATATTCATACCCTTGATGCATTCCACTGCAATTAACTGTATAGCTGAGAACTGGTATCAAAAATAGTTTTGACCATGCTTTCTGAAATTTCATTTTAAGAACAGCAAATAGGTTCCTCTGCTTCAGGAGCAGCAAGTCAGCCCAAGTGCATTTCAATACATCTGCACCCTCCCACACCCAGATCCCAAACAAACCCAAAAGCACACACCAAACAAAGCCCTAGGCACAATATTATTTGCTAAACAAGTCCTCAACTTTTATCATTCTGTAGCTTAAGAGAATACATGAAGGCAATGGAGAGGAAAAAATTTGTACTGTGTAGTGTCATAGTGTGATTATTCTGCAATAGGAAGAAAAATGTCGCATCCTGTAACTGGTAACTGGTTGCATCAGACCCATTTTGCCAGTTCTCACCTGACATCCCCTGTTTAAACAGACTCATCCAGACACCTTAGCACTGTCCAGGAAAACAAAACCACACATATGTTGCTGAATCAAGACACAGAACAAGAAAAAACCACACTGATTTTACCTCCCAAATCCTATCACAACTTGATAGTCCATCCTTTATAAAACATAGTTTATTTCTAATCAGTCAATTCTAAAAACTTCTCTGCAACTAACAACATTATGCTATTGAGAATAAGAAAACAGGCAGAACCTACTAAGATCCACTTGTTGGGTATATTTATAGAGCTACTGTGGCAGCTTTTGCTCCTCCATGCACTGGGAATGGCTCCCAATCTTGAAGCATCAGAGCGGATAATCTGCCAGCACATTTTTCAGCACCAGAGGAAAAAAAATTGCCAGAATCCAGCAGAATAGAAGTAGCAGCTCCATTGCTACTGGACAGAGCTTTAGTGAGGTACAGATTTACCCAGAAAAGTAGCAGTGGCTTCATTTTTTTCCTACATCTGTCACTAGCTAGAGGAGTAATTTTGGGGCCCAGCGTCAGGCTGACTGGAGGTCAGAAAGCCTGAAAGGGGGCATACGGTGCTGATTTGGAGGAAAGTGTCAGAATCCAAGCATTTTGAATATGACTGAGGAAAAATCTCATACCAGAATGCGACAGTCCATAAATAACAGACACAGGCGTTTCACCTGAGGTTTTACAACTGCAACCAGCTACTCTGGGAAGACTGGTAACAGGTACCATATACATCAGGAACAGCATTTCAGGGCCTCTAATTCTAGGTCTCCTTATTTAGAAGGATACTAGGGCAAACGTGCGGTTGCTGCACAAGACAGCAAGTAGTGCAGCGATTCATTGGAGGCAACTATTTACCCATTTAGGCTTCAGTGCGCCCAAGCCTGGGGACAGATTTGGACGGATCTACCGAAAAAGCAACTCCAGCTGCTTTGCTGTGAGTGTACTGGGGCAAGGACTCCCGCTCCCGCAGGACTGTCCAGGCGACCGGCTCCGCTCCCTGTCCCGCAGCCGGCTCCCTCAGGTCTCCTCGAACCTCTCGCCTCCGCTCTGGAACCGCGGCGAGCTGGGGCGCAGGGCAGCACCCCGGAGGGGACTGCGGTTTAAAAAACAGTGCAACTGCACGTGATGGGAATAGTCAAGGTGGCGGGAAGAACGGCACCGCTGCCTGCGCCGGGAGAGCCCGGAAAAGGTAAAAAACTACGGCAAGCCCGCCCGGCGTACCCACCATCTTACAGTCGTCCAGGGTTCTCTGGATCTGGTAGGCGCTATCGGAGCCGCTGCCCCGGCGTTCGCTGTCGCGGCCGTGCGGCGAGGTCCTGCTGCCCTGGAAGATGGAGGCGGCGGAGCGGGGGCGCTTCCTGCGCCCGCTCGGTGCAGCGCTCATGCACACGCATCCGCCGCGCGGAGCCGCCCGCGGACGCGGGCAGCGCCTTCCCTGCCGCCGCCGCCGCCGCCCCGGGCACGGGTGCGGGCCCGCGCCGCTCGTCGCCTCGGCCGGGGGAAGCCGCGCCGCTCACGGCAGCGAGCGCGGCTGCTGTGGGCGATAGCCTGGCGGCTGCGGGAGAGCCAGGGGAGCGCCCTGCAGCATCGCCTCCGCTACCGCGGGGAGAGGCGGAGGGGCTGGCGCCTGCCCTCCTTCAGCAGCATGTCAGTCCCCGCGGAACCGCCCCGCCGGTGGCATGCTCCGCCGTCCTCCTTCGCGCAGCCGGCGGGGGGAGTGGGGGGAGCGCGACCCTGCCCGCTGGAGAAGAGCGCCCATGCACTGCCCCGTGCTCCCGGCGGGGAAGCCCGACCCGCCGCGTGTGGCCGGGCGCCCGCCGCGAGCGGCGCGGAAGGTCCGGAGGGGCTGGCGCCGTCAGCAGCACCGCCCCCGCGGGGCGGGGGCGCCGCGGCCGCGCCCGCCGCGCCCCGAGCCCGCCGGAGCCGTGAAGGGCCGGGTCAGCGCCGCGCCAGCGCCGCGCCCGGCCGGGCCCGGGGAGCCGCCGCCCCACTGGGAGCCGCCCCGGCGCGGCCCGGGATCGTAGGGCACCGCCCGTCCCGCATTTGCCGAAGCTCATACCTGATCTTCAAGAGGCGTGCTTAGGTGTCGCTTTTCTCTATAAAAAAATACTTGGTTCGTTGCTCAATATTGATCAAATTTAGTCAAATGTTAGATAGTGTCCCAACGAGGGACACGAAGATGGTGGAGGATCTGGAGGGGAAGCCTTATGAGGAGCAGCTGAGGTCACTGGTTTGTTCAGCCTGGAGAGGAAGACACTGAGGGCAGACCTCACTGTGGTCTTCAACATCCTCGTGAGGTGAAGCAAAGGGGCAGGTGCCAATCCCATCGCTCTCACAGCCAGTGCAAGGATTTGAGGAAATGGCATGAAGCTGAGTCAGGGGAGGTTTAGGTTGGATATCAGAAAATTTTTCACCCAGAGGGTAGTGAACACTGGAACAGGCTTGCCAGGGAGGTGTAAAAGCACCAAGCCTGACAGAGTTCAAGAAGTGTTTGGACAACACTCCAATACATATGATGAGATTATTGGGGTGTCTTGCACAAGGCCAGGAGCAAATTCAGTGGTCCTGATAGGTTCCCTCCAACTCAACATATTCTATGATACTATGACTTTCTTTCTGTCTGTAAAAAAACTTCATATTTTGGGGCTCTAACAAAAAGTTTGGTGTTTGTGATGCAACACAATTGCATTTGTTACTTGCAGGAAAGATTAAATAATAATTAAGTGGAGAAACTCTGGGCACCCGCAGTGCAGTTGCAGTTCACCGGGCTGGTGCTCACAGTGCTCCCAGGCCGTGGGCACAGCCCCTCCAATGCTGTGGGGGCTGTGGGGCTGTGCCCCTTCTGTGTCTGCAGCTGCCTTCCCCGGGGGCTCCTGGGGACTGCACTGCCCCTGCGTGAGCTATGGCCTGAGACGGCTTCAGCTTCTGCTGGTCTTGTTCCTTTCTGTACCCAGGGAGCTATGGCTGTTTAGCTCTCTTCTGGTATAATTTTATTTATTCAGGCCGCTGAATAAGAGCTTTTTTTGTGTTTTGGTAATGTTCTTGAATCCAAAGCAACATTAAACACATCACACAGAGTAACCTCCATCTTGCCAGGGGGCTTGAATATGCCATCAATGCCACTCTGGCAGCTTGAGGAGCTCTTTTCAGGCTGTACTGACCATTACTGTAACATGGACAACCTCATATCCACTTTAATCTGGATATGGCCTATGAATCTCCTTTGAAACTCTTTTTTAGACTTCTCCTGCTATTTTCACAAAAATGTAAGCTGCTGGATATGTGGTTGTATGGATGGATTTGCAGCACTTGAAAGTGCTGTCATCACCTTAGTTAAAGCTAAAATGACCTTGTAGTTGTAACTTTACTTTTGTAAACATAATACTAGATTTTCAGCATTCTGTGAAGAAAAACTTGCAGTTTGATAGTTTTAAGGACATCACTTTTTTTTCCATGGTTAATTTAATTCTTTTATAGGAAGCAAATGCATGAAATTATGCTTTGGGCCAGAACATTGTGCAGCTACAATATAGAGAAAAGACATTTCCTAATGACAAGAAAAATATTTTTAATACTGGTAAAAAGCAAAATGAACACATCTTCTCCTCACATCTATATAGGTAAGGGAAAATAAATTTGTAAAGGGAAATTAAATATAACGCTATGCTATACCAGTGCTAGTGTTTTATTTGTTGCTTAAGGATCACTTTAGTCAAATGTTGTAGTATTTTTTCAGTCTATTTCTAGTCTTATTAAGAGCTACTGCAATAGCAGTAATGAAAAAAATGCTAATACTAAACCAAACAACAATAACAATAAATGTATCAAAGAGTTTACTTTTACATTACCTGTCTTGGCTGAAGTTCTGGTCCCCTGAAATCAGAACCAAAGTCCCACTGGCTTTTAAGAAAGATTGTAATTTAGTTCCTGGTGATATATCTGCCCTGTATAAAGCTGAGTCACAGCTGAGTTTTGTCTGTCAGCCAGCATCTGGAACAGTTTTGAAGTTCTAGCGACTTATTTCACTACACATGGTATATTCAATATGTCCACATTTGAAAGTGGATATGGTGATTCTGTAATTTGTAAGACTCCATGTTTTCATAATTGTTCTGGCTGAACGTGATGAATTTGATGGCACTTCATCAGCATAACCCAGGATTATGTTGGAGAAACATATGAGTGAGAGGTACCTGGAGTGACAAGTATCAACTCAGTTTGGGATGCATAAGAGACAATGATTTTTGTAGGCATCCCAGGAATGAGGATGGGGGAAAGAGCTCCAAGCTAAGCCACCAAAGGTTGTTGCAGGGTAGGCAGTGGAAGCAACAAGAAAACAGCAAGGTTTGAAAATATATATCGCCAGGAAACAAATGCTCTCTCTTGAAAGCTGATGCATGTATGTTGAAAACTTTCTTGAAGAGAGAAACATGATTCTTTCTTGTCTGAACTAGTGTTTCTGTCACCTTTTCCTTGCTCCAGCTTCATCTCCTGATGTTTAATGGATTGCAGGAAGCAGGGGCTTGTTTCTCCCTCCTATGGCATCCTCTCAAGACCATAGGCAGGTGACCTTGAAGTAAATTCAGCAATTGCATGGCCTATTATAGTCAAATTCTTTGCAGCTCTATAGCTCATAATGAACCAGAAGTGTATATGCGGGTCTTTCTTCTGCCTAGCCTGTATGGTAATTCCAAAACATGAACTGAGATTATTTGGTTTCTCTTGTTCCATTTTGTTGTAATCTTTGTCCGTTTATTGCTCTGGTTGTTGGCTTCTGATTATATTTCTCAAGGGAGTGTAGAATCTAACAGACTAGATAAGTTATGAAAGAGAGACTGAATTTCTGAGAAATGTGACGAAATATCCTTGTAGGGGGAAAAAAAAAGGGAAAGAGATATGTAAAATTTAGGAGGAAAAAAGGCCATTTCTTTAGATACAGATACATAGAGAGAAGAGGAAACCAAGAAGATTCCAGATACTGAAGAAAAAAAGAGAAAGTATTTCTGCATGATCTTCATAAGACAGAAGAATAAACTATAAGTTTTAAGGTTAAATTGAAAATGAAAACAAAAAATATACACTTTTCTACATTTCTCTGAAATTTATATTTTCAAAGAAATTTATATTTTAAGACAGTGCACAGATTTATACCCTGAAAATGTGGGGTGAGATCAGTGTCTGGAGATAAAGCACTTGTTTTTTTCACCAGGCTTCCTATGGAGTAAAACTGTTTAAATATCACAAATAAAAATGTAATAATATATAATAATTCATTTGAAAATCATCACTTTAATGGCCATTTCGTTTTTATAAATAATTTCATAAGACTGGGGAGTTAGGGAAAGAAGTGCCACAAGAGAGACTATTCCATACTTACTCCATGTAGTCTTTTATGTATCCAAAGTCTTCCTGGCTTCAGAGGTCCTCCAGCAGAGACAGCTCCCAGCACTCTTTCTCTTCAGCTTGTGCTCAGTGCAATGCTTACCAAGTCAAATTTTTTTGTAGCAAATTTTACAAACATTAGTGTATTTTCATTATGTACTACTTTAATAGCAAGATATAGAAAAATATAATATTCAGTTCCTTTAGAATTGGGTGGTTTTTTGACTACAGGTGCATTTTGAATCTAAAACCAATTTATATAGATACCCTTCAAATCAAAGAAACATATTTGTGTTGATAAATTTATAATCAGTCAATTCCAAAAACACAGGCAGTCTGTCAGTTAAAATTGTGAAGCAGACAGGAACACTTTCCTAAGTTCTGTCATCTTAGAAGTCTCAATAATTTCGAAGTTCACTTAGGAAGCTTATGTCCATGCAGTGTATTATCAGCGGAGATGCTGAGGAAAAGGCTTACTTTGCTTGCTGTCAAATTTTTAAAAACTGTAATCACCAGGGAGACTGTAGCTGTCAGCCCAGTACAGGCATGTTGCTCTTGGTTAGGAATGCATGAAACAACATGCTTAAGCTAGCAAAAATGTAAAAATGGCTAAGTCTGCTTTACTTGCCTTCTCGGTAAGTGTTGCAAAAGATTGTTTGTAATATTTAAGTCATGCCTTGAGGATTCTAGAAATTATTATGGTAAGATATTTGGCACTTAATAACTATTTCATTCTTTAAAGCAGAGAATGAAAGCAATTCTAAACGAGATAATCCATGATACGTTCCCATCTTCTCTAGTTCTTTACCACATATATTTACATATGTAATTCCAACATGAGCTTACACTGTGGGAACAGTCTGTGGGAAAATATCTGTGGCAACACTCAGGAGGGTAGCCGACTAAATTTTTCAAATTTATTTGCATTTGCCCAGCACAATATAGGATTTAATTACAAGGAAGTCTAAGAAAATGGCCCATAGAACCACTTACCTTTTGCTTTCACCTCTATATTTTTTAAAAACACAGTATCATTAGTAACCTAATGTTAAG